ATTTTCGAGAAATTATAAAATAAGAATAAAAATTACATAAATGAAAATACAAAATTTGATAAATTTAAAAAATATTGATAATACTATTTTATACCAAAAATGAAGTAATATAAGGAAAAAAAAACAATTATGAACTACATAATCATTAAAATATATGGTAGTCATATCTTAAACAACTACTATAAAATTTTCAATATATAATTAAAGGAAAAAATTCCTCATTTATATGTACATTTTAATATCAATTAAATTTTTACTAGCTAATTGTTTATCAAAGATATTGTGATTGAAGTAATGACATCAATTTTGTCAATTCAACTATACATTATAGAGAATTATAGAAAGTTGTTTAAATTAAAAACTACACATCAAGGGAAAAAAAAAAAGAAAAGAAATTATACCTCATGTGAGCTTGTTTTTTCTTATATAGTACACTTTTCATAGTTAAAATTTCATCCGTATCTTAAACGTAACCCAGCAATAAAAGTAACAGATAAAAAAATAAAAAAGAGGAAAATGTTAAATATGGAAGAGAAATAAAGAGAGATAGGAGAGAAATTGGGGAGAGAATAAATCAGTCTGTATTATTCCATAGAGTGGGGATATATATACATTCAATATAACTAGGATTTGCTTAGATAACAAATAAACCCTAGATCTAGAATATTCCGGAATGATACAAAGGAGAATAATGGATATCCACAAATATTTCATATACAGCAAATATAAATGATCTCAACCAAAAGTGAAATTTAATACCTCCTCCAATCCATTATTGCAAATTTAATTTCTTGACACATTGACTTTTGACACAATTTATCAATTATATTATTAGCTTGTGTAATTTAACATAACTAAAGAATATAATCGTATAATGTGGAATCTTGTTGGACTCTTCTCAGGCGTTTGGTATATTAATTTTAGATATATATAGGAAACAGACTCATATAAGTGTTTCCGTTTGGTGTTTAAAAAGCCATAAGGACAAGTGATGAGAATCGATCCCAGGATCACTTGGAACCGGGAGGAGAACTCTAACCACTTGAGTTATTCCTCACTCTTTTCCATTTCTAGTTGTTTGGTATGAGTTAAAAGTAACAAATACCGTTTCCTGAGGGTAACAAAATTTCCCAATTCGTATCTTTATTTGCAAGTGAAACTTTTTGACATTTTGCACTATTTAATAATTAATCCATTTTGACTAATGTTAATGATTTATATATAAGAAAAAGGTATAATTGTTAATTGGATGGAGCACACAAGAGGGGGGGTGAATTGTGTAGGAACTAGTGTTCCAACATTTTGCGGAAATTAAAAACGTTTAATGTTATGGAACAAATAGAAGTGCAAGAGAGATTTTAGCGTGGAAACTTCTTGCGCCCAACAAGAAGAAAAACCACGACCACTTGGGATTTTCTAAATCGACTTCACTATATAGGCAATACTATTACAATCTATAGGAACTCGATAAGAATTTAAGTTCCTTTAGAACATAAATCTGCCCCAAATGCTCTCTATAGCTTCAACCTCGAAGCTTGAAAACTTAAGACTTAATTTTAACTCTCTACAAAAGATAACTCAATCTTTTTCTCAAATTACAACTCAATAATAGATTTAACTTTAGTACATAAAAACTCAAGAACAATTAGGAATTTGGAACTCTTGGAAACTTGGAACTTGTTGTACTAACTTACTTACGTGAAAACAAAATATATTATATGAAAATCTTTTCAACTTAAGTTAGACCCATTTGAAATGACTCACTAAAGCCAGACCTGTTTTGGAAGGACTCTCTAAGGTCAGACAATCTGAAAGTGAAAACAAAGCCTTTTATTTATAACGTACCCAAGCATACCCACTTCCTCCGTATTCTCTACAACTAACAGTTAGTGCTCCTAAACTTTAGGAACAACCAATATCAATATACTGGAGAACGTGGGGATGAAGTGATGAACGTGACATATGGATAAGCATTTGAAAACTATTTTCTTGGAGAAAAATTATAGGGAGTGCTTAAATCAATCCTTGGAGAAAAAGAAAATGTTTTGTAAAATAAGGTATCCAAGATATTTATTTTCCAAAACATTTCTTTAATCAATTTAATCACAAGAGTAATTTCCATAAAATAATTTTCAACTTAAATGTAATGAGAAGACTTATTCCAATTACAAACTTTTACAAGTTCCTTTGACTATTCAGTACTAAATTATCTCAACTGATTTTCCCTGAAAATAGCCAATCAAAACAACATGGTTAATAAAAGATATTTTTAGGAAAAGATAAGTTTTTGTAAAATAATATCCTTGGTTTATTTTCCAAAAACAAAATAAAATCTTTTCTTCCAAAATATAGTTACTTTTATCACATTAATAAAACTTTGTTTTATAAAGTATTTTCCTTAGGAAAAATATCTAAATTAGAATTCAATATAATTGAATGCTTATTTAGAGAAGATAAATTTTGTACTTCCTTCAAGTTCCTTTTAGTACCGTGAGTTTCAATACCTTTCAAGTTTCTACATATACGTACATGAATCCTAGAAAATAAACTCATATCTTCTGTCTTCATGCTCCATGCTACTCCACATGTTGATTGTTCCTCTAGGGAACTTCATAGTGCTTCTCATAGGATCTTGTATATAGACTCCTAAAGGAACACTTGACATGGACTTCTCTATTTTCTTCCTTCGATTAGTCTGTAGTGTATTTCATGTAGAGATCAAGGACTTCCCTTTGTTCCAACTCTAGAACTTGTTCCTTTCTCAAGAACGTGCCTAAAAACCTGTACACTTGACACACTTTCATCAAACTGAAGTGAAGTATATAAATAAAGTTCTTAAACTAATATAATTAAATAATAATAATATAACTTTAAATACTTGTTCCATATTTATTAGGAACTTCTCTTTAGAAGTACCCTCATGGGAACTTCATTGATTGTTGCTCTAACCATGTTCATGATATACAAGGATCAATCCTCCATGACTTGTTTAATATGCACATCAACACACAAGTTAGTTAATAAGCATCATTTGTTTATGATCATCAAAACATATTATCTCAACAATAATTTTGTGGATACTTAGCTTGTTATTTGTTAAAATCATCTTAATGAATAGATTATAATATTCAATTGTTATAATTTGTAGTTATTGATAATTAAAGATATTACTTGTATTAATCAAAGTTTTACATTGGCATACACACATAGCTAGGAGAAACGTTTCACGCACTGGCCAAAACAATAACGCCACTCAAATAAAGGAAGGCTAAATGGCCAAAACAAACTTGAAAATACTTAATAGATTAGTAAATAAAAGCTTCTTATGGGGGTGATCGATACGTGTTGTTAACTTGTTATTGTTGTATGTATATCGTTAGGTGCTGGAGATAGGTATTGTGGTTCATTCAGTCATTATAGGGCTATCGATGGGTACATCCGATAGCCTTGAGTCCATCAAGTCTCTCATAGCAGCTCTATGTTTTCATCAATTCTTCGAGGGTATTGGATTAGGTGGATGCATTGTACAGGTACGTACACCGAGATGGTGGGTTTAATTCTCACTCTCTCTTTCTCATTATTTTTAATTTTGACTTTAATCTTATCGACCATATATTAACTTTTTATAACCTTTTTTGCGACTAACTACATACGTATGCATGCATGCAGGCATCTTTTAAGTCTACATCTACTATATGTATGGCAGTGTTCTTTTCCCTCACAACTCCCTTGGGAATTGCCGTAGGAATTGGAATAAGCAAAGTTTATGAGGAAAGTAGTCCGACAGCACTCATCGTTCAAGGGTTATTGAACGCAGTTGCGGCTGGAATCTTGATTAACATGGCGCTTGTTAACCTTCTAGCGGAGGACTTGATGAACCCTAAGGTGCAATCCAAAGCTAAGATCTTCTTTGGGGCCAATATCGCTTTGCTTCTTGGTGTTGCTGCTATGGCTATTATGGCTATATGGGCTTGATTTGGTGTCTTCATATTTCGACTTTTTTTTTTTTTTTTTTTTTCATTGGTTGTGTGACTAATACATATACATACAGTATTCAATTTGTTCCTCCAATTTGTTCTATCTATTATAAAATTTGAGTTGACAAACTTTACATCTTGTATTGTACCAAATAGTATTTTAATATGTCAAATTTATAAAATGAAATCATATTCATTCTCATGATCATTCAAGATAGCCCTCGAACTAAATTATTTCTTATCATAAATTTTCATTAACACCTAATGCCAACTTCCCTCCTTCCAAGTGGCCTGTCAATGGATAATAATGAAGTAATTCCTTAAAAAAAAAAAAAAAATACAAGGTTGAGGGAAGAGATTGTGTTACGAACTTGTTTATTTAGGTCCTTTCCCCCAAAGCCTCTTAACTTTGACGGAAATCGATCTCTATTAATATAATAATCCGTTGGTATTTTAAAAAAAAAAGAAGGTAGTGACATTTTAAGATCAACTACTATACCTCAAATTTAAACATGAAGTTTTAACCGCGATATAATTATGTAATACTATGTACTTTTGTATTTGATGTCATCTTTTCAAAGTAATCAATTAGCAAATTTCTTCTCATATGGTCAATAATAGTTCCTTGTTTAGATTGCTTATAAATATTACATTTATTATTATTGACCGAATTTTGTGTGGGTGGGGATGGGGAAGGGTGGACTGCCGCTTGCCAGAAGAAGAAGAGGTTGTCCATAAACATGTTATAATAGATTTGGTGACCGGTTGGGACCAATAAAAGCGAATACACTCTGAAGTTCAAATTATTTAAAGAGAAAACAAGAAGGTTGGGGTTATTCTTACCGAATTTTCCTTTTTAAATTACTAACTCTTACCATAATTATTTGTATGTGGTTGGGGTTACTTGTAGGGGGTTACTCTTTTGGTCAGGGGTTACTTGTAGGGGTTACTTTTTCAGGGGTTACTCATTTGGTCAGGGGTAATTATAGGGGTTACTAATACACGCTAACCAATTGAGTAAGCAACCCCTACAAGTAACCCTTGAATAAGTAACACATACAAGTAACCCCTGAATAAGTAATACATACAAATAACCCCTGCCACATGGTGTGGCCAGCCACACAAAAAAGTTGCTGAACTCTTACAAGCTTTGCTTAATTAATTAAAACAACAAATTTTTCAAAATCAATTTACTCAATTTACTTAATACATACTATGAATGTTTCTTAATCACACGGAGTATAACATGTATTAAATGATATGATACTTACAAAAATGTATGTAGTTCATCACCGGATAACACTCAAAAAATTAAAAAAAAAATAATAATAAAAAAATTTAAAGGATGTAAAAATCAATATAATCAGTGATCACTTCACAAAAAGCTTAAAGTCATGGTAAAAAATTAAGCCCATATAGCTAAAACAGCCATAAAACCAGCACCAAGTAGCAAGGTAAGATTTGCTCCAAAGAAAAGCCTAGTGTTGGTTTGCATCTTAGGGTTCATAAAATCTTGAGCTAGAAGATCTACAAGTGCCATGTAAATCAAAATTCCGGCCGCCACCGCATCTAACAACCCTTGAACAATAAGAGCTGTTGGACTACTTTCATCATAAACATTAGATATTCCTATTCCGATTGCGATTCCTACTGGAGTTGTGAGGGAGAAGAACAATGCCATGCACAATGTAGATGCTGACTTGAACGCTGCCTGCATGTATGATTACCAAGGATACATACATAGTATGCATAAATTAGAAAAATAATGTTCATTATGATAGGATCATACATTAGCATACTTAATTTATAACATAGATACATAATTTACCTGTACAATGCATCCACCAAGTCCTACACCTTCGAAGAATTGATGGAAGCACAAAGCCGCCATTAGAGGTTTAATGGTATCGAGACTTTCAGAAGTACCCAGTGATATTCCTATAATTACTGAATGAACCACAATACCCATCTCCAACACCTGAACAATAATTCAATAGATAACATGATTTCCATATATATCCGGTGTTAATTTAAATGACTTAATGCAATTATACAACTCAACATTTTCAAATATTATTTTTCTACTCGGTGGGTAGATATAGCAATGTCCCATTCAATTATTTCATTGACAAATATTGGCTATCTAACTCATAGTACTAAAGACAAGTTGGAAAGTTATTATGTCCTTAAGTACTTTCGGCCTCTCTTATCTCCCTAAATAATTAAACCCCCTGCCTAACTGACCCTATGACAGTATGACATTGTACGTACATACACCCTTATTTCAAAATTATTATTTATAAGTATTAAACTACGGAGTTTCTTCAAAAAAAAAAACTACAGAGTAGTTTTAATATATCACATGCCCCGCGTGATCACCACTAATCTCTTCATCCACACCCGCCGCCACGGTCGCCTTCCCAAAGTGGACCCTACGATTGTGCCCGGTGGCGAACGCATTGATCATCAAACTCCCTAGAGCCCCCACCATGGCGGCGAGTCCGGTAAAGGGGAACTTCCCCCACGGATTCTCCTTCAGGCAAGGGCTAGTAAGACTTTCGAACGCATCGGGTAACACGTGAATAAACCCCGTGGATAAAATTACCCCTGCCGCGAAAGTCTTTACTAGGAAAAATAAATTACTCTCGGGGTGTAACGCTGGGAAACTTTTTCCTATTATAGGGAGACATACTCCGAGGGCACTTGCCGCTAGTATAGCGGCTATTGCCCCGAGTTTATACTTTAAGGCCGCGTTATTACTATTATTGCCCGTTCACACGTACAATCACCCGACACCAACGAAATTGGCAAAAGAAGGACAATGGAAATGATAATAACGTAGTAAGATCTCTTGCCTAGTAACATTTTTCGACTTTTTCGAATCTCGAAAGAGGAATAATGCGTTGTTGCGATTGTTTTTTGGTGTGTGAATGGAAGGTTTGTTTCCTAAAAGTTAGTCAAGAATGAAGATCCTAAAAAGAAAGTACTATATATATGATGTGTTTTATATGAAAATCATCATTATTGTATGATGATGAACAAACTTTATATGTATGACTTTTGGTCTTAGTTTTGGGATAGTGACATTGGAAAGCTTTAATGGACCGAGAAATTCATGGAAAAAAGAAAAAAATTAAAAAATTAATGATATAAATACGAAGTATTAGGGAGCGTAAACAGGAGTAGTAGAAATAATGTTCATATATGTCGCCATTTACTCAATAAACAACCAGATTCGGTTGATTTTATAAGTAGAAATTTGATGTCTTTTCTACTAGTCAACGTAAGTATGTCGACATTATGTGTGTATTATCTAATAGAAGATTTTCTTTGTTTTGGAAAGGATAATAGCTGGTAATTGATCAAAATATTCAATGCTATTGATAGTTTTTCTATATATACGTATATCTTTTCAAGATTTCACATTTTTTTAATAGGAAAAATTCATTTTTTTTTTTTTTTTTACTTATAGATTAAATAATAATAATACGGAGTAGTAATGCTTTGCTTCTAACACGATTATGTAACAATTTAAATATTTGCATAAAATAAAATAAAAGTAGAACAACGCAAAAGCAATTTAATTTAAAAATTGTATTAAAAAAAAAACAATTTAAAATTTAGGATACAATAAAATAAAATAAAAATGTTGCAAGGAGTATATCACACGATTATGTACATTTAATCTCCTGTTTTCCGAAAAAAAAAGTCCTCTTTTCCAAAATAATATAATGAAATAAAATAAATCCAAAATCAATAATCTAATATATTTAGATAAATAAAGTTGGTATTTTGGAAGAACATTCGGAGCGCCACGTAAAAAATATACTTATTTCGACCAATAAGAAGAAAGATTTGTATTTTATTTTTGAATTAAAAAATTATGTCGCCACCTAGATAAAAGTAACGAATTAGATTTGATATATATAAAATTTTAATGCCACATAGATTATAATTTAATCCACGACTTAAACTATTTTAATGAAAAAAAATAAAGTAAAAATATAGGAAAAGATAAATTTATTAATTCAATACTACGAGTATAAGAAATCCAAAAAAATATACTAAAAAATATTTAAATGATAAACGCTTATAATAAAGTTTGATACCATTAAAAGATAAATTTTGACAGTATTTATGATAAGAAATACAAATTATTTTTATAAATTAAAATTTATGATACCTACCATTATAAATTGACACATCATACGACACAAACAAAATTTCGTATCAATAAAAAACCCCATCAAGCGAATTTTGTGTTAGTAATTTTGTGTTAATTTTTGGTCATCAATGGCCGATAATTTTTAGCTTAATTTTTAAAATCCTATGTTTAAATTAGTATTTCTAATAATTACTTACATTGTATTAATTTGGAATACTCAACGATTATATGTTTATGTTTTATTTACTAAATGTTTTTTTACATGCAGATCTAACACATCATACGACACAAATAATATTTCGTATCAATACAAAACCCCATCAAGCGAATTTTCTATTAGTAATTTTGTGTTTGTTTTAGGTCATTAATGTCCGGGTAATTTTTAAAATCGTATGTTAAAATTTACTTTTGTAATTATTAGTTACATTGTATTTATTTAGAATACTTAACGATTATTTGTTTATGTAATGTCATACGATTAGATGTTGTATACTCAATATGTGGACGAGGTTGGTGATTCTATCGAAATAAAAGATATGGTAAAACAATGAATAATGATTTAGGATTTAAATTGTTAAAAATTTATCATTTCACATTAAAGATTTTATATAACGGAAAAAATAACATATTTACAATTTATTTATATTTAATAAATTCATTATAAATCATAGTAAAAAAAAAATATTTAACTTTTGAATTTTGTCTAAAATTATTAAATACAATAAATCAAATAATTAAAAATCTTAGATGAAAAAACCGTGCATCGCACGGGCTTCCATCTAGTTAATACTAAAATAATTACCGCTGACATCATAACTATCCACGTGGCAGCTTATTATAATAAATTTTTCCTCCAAACTACTATTGACATCATTCTTTTTATTTATTTATTTTTTATTTTAGGTTAAAGCTAATATTTGAAAATGATTGATCAATTATACATTTTTCTAAAAGTTTTTATAATTAAATTGACTAAATACACAATTTCTATTCCTATTGAGTAAAAATAATTGACGGTCTCTTTCACATTTTATTCCCCTCCTACCTAGGTTTTTTTAAAAAACAATCTCCTACATTTTATTAGTGATTGTAGAGTTTGGATTTTTCACTCTTAATTAATTCTTCAAATTTCCTACAATGAATAAAAAACGAAAGCTAACATTTTTAACATTTTATTATAGCTATGAAGTTAATTAGAATATTTAAAATCATGTCCTTCATTTTAGGTAAATTAATCTAATGAGAGGGATCACGATTTATTATGTTTTGCTTAAAATATTTATATTACACACTTACAAGTAAATTTTTTATTATTAAACAAAATATTTATATTACATACTTACAAGTAAATTTTTTATTATTAGAACCGTACATCGTACGGGACTAACTTAGTAATATAATATAATAAAATAAATTAAATAAACTTTTCGCAATGTTTAGGGAAATAGTGAAATAGCATGTACTCCCTTTGTTCCACAATAACGGACACAATCAACTTTTGCACATATGTTGATGTACTAGTTTGACCTTATTTTTATATAATTAAATATTAATCAAAAATTATACGAAGTAATAAAAGTTATATTGTGAAACTTTATATTAATACCTATCTAACAACATATTTTATGACAAAATACGTTTTTTATTATGTTAGTAAAATATTCTCATCAAAATTAATATATGAATAAAAAAGTCCAATGTCCCAGTTATTCTGGAATGAAGGGACTATCAACAATTAACACTCGTATATGAATAGTGTTAAACTCAGGCTATTATGATTATTTAGGAATGGAATATACAAAATACCCTGTAAGTCCGTAGAGTAGAATATGGTGTATCTACACTATTTATATTTTTAATTGAAGACTATTACACATTTACACTATTAGAGTACTTAGTTAGACTCTAATTGCCATGGGAACATAAATTGGTCAAAAAATGCGTGCATCGGCTGTTGGCTCGGTTGCCTGAACTATCCTAGGACCAAGGACATTGGTGACTTTGATGCATACTTGGGAAGAAAATTTGCAGATAACATAAAAGAAGTAATTAAAGCTAAGAAAAAAATTTACTTATGACGAAATATGCAATAATGCAACTCCCTAAACATGCATAGTCCATGTTATAGTCGACGCGACTACGTGATCTAAGGGAAAGAAAAGGTCCGCTTGCACGATTTCGATCATCGTCTAGGGTATTCTTTCTGCATATTCAAGATTTCAAGGTAGCTTGTTTGTGTTAGGTTTGATGTTCGGAAATATGGCTAGTTTTGATCAGATCAGATCAGCCCTCGACGATATGGAGGACGAGGTGATTGCAAGATATTCCGTACTTCCTTATGATAAGCTTGCATTCATTCATTATACATATCTAGTTGCAGTGTTGCACCCACGTTATACTAATTCCAATATATATGCCGAGCCAATATAGAAAACGGTCAATACCGATCCCAACTAGAAAATAAAAAATTAAAAACGATATATTGTTAAAATATGACTTGAATTAGTTAGCCCCCGTCAAATAATTATCAAAGTAATTAATTAACTATGGTTTTCTATATCTTGGACTTGGACCTATTTTGTTTTACATCATATAATAATTTAAGTGTACTATATAAACTCTCATTATTTTTTTTTTAATTGCAAGACTATATAAACCCTCTTGGGGGTTCTCCTAGTTAAATTCTTTTTAAAAAAAATTTTTGCTTGCATCCGTTACAACTAGCATGTACTCCAAATTAAACATCAGTGGTATTTGCATCAAGAAAAAGAACAATACGAATAAAAGTACCTGTGAAGTGACTCTATATCTGACTTGTTCCGCTTGACTTAGACCTTGAGGGACTACGCTACTTGAACCATGAACATGGTGATGAGCATCCTTAGCCTCCTCATCAGCGGCATTATGATCATCAAGGCCGTGAGCCTTACGAAAATGGCGCATAGCAATGGAGTCCATCATCAAAGTCAGAATAGCCCCGCCCATGGCGGCGAGGCCAGTGATGGGAAAACTAGCCCATGGTGAATCTTCACCGAGACATGGGCTAGTTAGGTTCTCAAAGGCCTCAGGTAAGATGTGGATGAATGCGGTACATAGGATGACCCCGGCTGCAAATGCCTTAACTAGGAAGAATCCACCCTTATTAGGGTGAAGCGCTGGGATGTTTTTCCCCACTATGGGAAGAAAAACTCCCAGCGCACTCGCAACTAATATGACAACAATTGATCCAATTTTATAATGTAAGACACTTTTATCGACTACTTCTCCTGCATGCTCGTCTTTGTCTTCTCTTATACAGGTGCATTCGCTTTTCTTCTCGGTACTATGGCCAGCGACGAGGTTGAAGGTCGCCGAGAGCAAGAAGAGGGAGAGAATGATGACAGCAATGTGAGATGGTTTAGACACCATGGTTAGTTGTTTGAGGGAGCTTTTGAGATTTGTCAACGTTTGTACCTTTTAATTATGTTGAGATTAATCAAGGAAATAATGATGATTGTATGTAATTGTCACCTTTTTATATTGGATCTTGAATGAGCCAATGAGCCATAATTACTCTATATTGTATATGATAAACTGTTTAATTATTTAGTAGATATAAACAATTAGCTTAAGTAAAAATACACAATTTAAAGTCTCACTAGTCACTACTACAGCTATATGGCTTAAACTTAATTGTAATGTCGAGTTTATGTGTAACAATGAATGAAATGGAAACTGCATAAAAAATGTACTTTAATTTGAGCATCTCACGTATATGGTTAGCGATATGTGATACCCTCTCTACTCTGACATGCACGACTTTAACATCCTATAAACTTAAGACATTTCGTTTTACATGTAACATATCAATAGTAAAAACTTTAATTTAAGTGCTAATTTCTTTAGTTTATATTACTCACTGTTGAAATTAATGATGAGTAAAAATGTTAAGCGACTTTAACATTCTCTTACTCATAACATCATTGATCATTTTTACTTGTTATATCATTGGTCACATTATACATAGACAACCTTTTATTATCTCTGTTTGTGACCTTTAGTATATTTGGTCATGATAAGTTAGCGTAAAACCAATTTTCATAGAAACTTACATTGCCCACCTCGTGTCTCATTCTCCCTCCATCTCTTATTATTTGTATATGTTTATTGTGGTCTCCAATAATATGTTTTTTTCTGGTAACAACTACTCATAGAAAGCTATATATTCCTTAACTCAGGATATCATAACAAATTAAGAGATTAATACAACGCAATTGTTACTTATTAAAGAAAGTTTGCAGGTGACACCATGTCTTCATGCAACATTGGTAGCAAACAACGAACATGATCACACGACTATTAGTTGTCATTGAAATCGTTTAATTTGTCATGTCACATGTTTTCGTGTAGGCATTGTTAAGGATGAATTTGAAACGGATGGAGTTTCGATACGGCGTACGTGTATCTATTTATTTGTTCTATCAAATTACTTTAGATCACCAATTGCTCTCGTCCAATCCATTTGTTTTGTCCGAGTAATTTATAATGTTGGCACTTGTCTTGTTCAATAATATGGAGTACACTTATTTTTCACGAAAGTTAGGTTGAAATACTTTAAAATTTTGATGATACATTATTTAAGTATAAGCCAAATTGGAGTTAATTGTTCAAATTGATTGGAACCATTTCGATCTATTCTAGTTAAATCATGTTATCTAATTATAACAAGCTTTAAGTACATTTTAGGTTTTGAAATAAATATGTTATTTCTAATTGGATCAATTTTGTAAGGTATAGAATAGCTGAATAAGGCTTTATATTATAGTTTACTTCTACTTTATTTTCAAGGGGAAAAATTGAATTTAAAAAAAAAAAAAAAAAATCGTAGAAAAAAAAAATTTTAAGGCCATGGAATTTCATCTAAAACATTGGACCGTGTATCTTTATGGAAAATACCACGTCGTACAACTTTTGGTGATAGTTTTCGAATGAGAATAAACAAGAGGTCTGTTTATCTAGTAATAGTTAAACCAAACTCTCGCTTGATTCTATGCCATATACATTTAGTTAATTAATTTGGTATTCAACTAGAAATAGAGGAATGACACTCATAAAATCTGATTTACACGAATCTTAAATAATTTATTTTTTGAAACTATATACTTATTGTTTTTAATTAATTAAAGACTTACAACATCTAGCAAATAGTTCAAAATCTAACTATCTGCGCAGTTTTGATATAGATCTAACTGAGTACTTGCTGATAAATGTACACTAATAATTACGAAATCATAAGGAAGAAACTCACAAAAACAAAGTACGGAGTAGGAGTATTAAATTGCAAGAAAGTACACTTCTTATAATTCACGAAAAACCAGAAACCGGCAAACCAAACATAGGAAGTGGTTCATATTCGGCTGTTTATTCGACTACCCAAAACAAGGCTAAAGTGTCGAAAGAATGTCGTCATTTGATTAAACTAAATACTTTTAATTAAGCCGTCTAATTAGCTCAAATTTTGCTTTTATTTCTTCATTCTCATTTATAATACGGAGTACTACCTATAATGCAACAGCACTTCAGCTAATTGATAATTTATTTTTGATCGATCTCATAACCATTTTTCAACGAGCTAGTTGTCTTGAATCATTATTTTTTAGGTTAAAAAAATTTATTGTTTTTTGTTTTGGATTTACCTTTTGTTTATTGTACTCGTATTAGCAATCATATAGACATAAATTCTGTCTTATAACCTTTTTGTTTTTATCTTAAATTTAATGAAAATGAACTTATTTTTTCATATACACGTAACTATATGGATGACTTTTTCCTAAAAGCGACATAATCACCTACAGTACATCCAGCTAGCTTATACAATTTAAATTAAAAAATAAATAATACTACTCCATAGTTGATTACTTATTCTTTTGTACGAGTATACAAAATTATCATCTTCTTTTGTTTCTTTTATCATTTGCTCTATTTTAGTTTAAACCTTTTGTTACGTCACTTTTTAAATCAGCGATTTGAGATTTTAAATTTAAACTTTAAGTGTTAATTGATAATTAAACTTACAAAATAATACACATATCACATCTTAATAGTTCAATTGCATGGTATACATATACCATGGATTAGGTAATGGTTTGTTGGTTTTTATACTAATCATGGTACATCATCATTAATCTCCCTGGGATTTGCCTGACATATTCCCTCTCTTTCCAAAATAGGAAATATGAGTAAGTTTTACTGTATGATAATCACAATACACAATTACAAGATGGCACGAGTCAAGTTTAATAGTTTATCACAAATTAAAAAATATATATGAGATAATACTACTGTTTAATATCAACAAAAAATTAATAAAAATTATAGACTATTTTTAATCTGGCAAAGAATAAAATAAGTGGTCCAAAATTCGGAGTTTGACTAGCCAAAACAAGTGAAGTGTGTTCACAGAATGTCGTCATCTCATCAATTAAACATGTATTTCTACTTTATAATTACCTGATTTTCGTTTTTATATTCGAAAAGTCAACTTTTATGTCGATAGAATGACTTCTAATTCTATATGTCAAAGTCTGTCCTTGTGAATATTGTTGCAAACAAATAAAAGATTAAAAATCGTTGTGAGCAAACATTGAAAGGTTAATAGTGTTATTTTTAAACATATATACATATAATCATTGTTTATTTTAATTAGTGATTAGTGATAGGAAAGTAGTTGCAATCTTGTTATATTATTGGTTTTCTTTAGCCTTCAAATTGTGCAACGTTATCTATATAACTTTTCTTTTCGATTCAGAAGAAATGTCTTTATCATATACAGCTGGTTATACCACTGACTCTTTCATGACAGTAATCAAACACATTAACAATCATCAAACTAGAAATAATGATAATAAATAGAAAGTCAAATATGACTTTTTCTCGACATTTTTAAAGACTTTTTTATGTGTTAAGTCTGACTTTTATAACAACTTTATTATATCATATCTATACAATCAACTATTATCCATACCTTTTCTTGTTTACGTGTTTGCTATTTAAATATATAAACATAGCTATCTCCTAAATCTATAATCTTTTGATAGGCTTTGCTAGGTAGATCTAAACTTCAAAATCTACCAAATATCAATAGTAAAAAGTTAACTCCTTACTTTCATTATAAACCTTGAGGAACACCCTCCCTAGCTTGAAGTGAAATCCATGGATTTCTTGTCATTTGAGGCTTCAAATCCTCTGTTAGACATGATGAACTGCTTGTTGCTCAGTCGTTTCTCCGATTCGCCATTGTTACTCGACAGAGGTAAGCTTTGTATTAGAAGTAAAGCTCATTAACACAACTATATTCCTCCTTACGCCCCAAAAATAATGAAAGAGTATGATACTAACCTGGGTAAGATGCAGTCATCCAATCAGCTGAAATCGTTTTTCTAGTCTATCTTCACTTCACACCCAATTAGCAGAAGCTAATTCATGATCATCAAGCTTCAATCATGAATGCTACTTAACTAACCTTAACAAGGTACCCTGTATGTCCCAAGGACTGCCACCCATTTCCGAAGATTGACCAACACGTCGACTCCACCAATGGACATACAGCTTCATGGACACGTTCTCAGAGTATCATTGGATTAAATGTACCCGAGAAAGCCATTCCCAAACTTTGATATTCCTTACCTCTCTGAAATTTACTCTACCAAATTCTTTGCAGGAAACTTCACTTCTATTTACTGACTACAGTTAGGTTGGTTCTATCATACGTACATACCGGCTTACGTAGTAGAAACTAGCCCAGGTTTTTGTTATCACGATTAGGTTGGTTCTATTATACATAGTGGAAACTAGCCTAGATTTTTTTTTTTCTTTATCAAAATCCAAGACTAATCCACAATTCCTCATCCATTAAATGTTACCCTATCAATTGTCGAGCAATTAATGTCTTACAATAGTACTTTTTTCGAGTTTTCATCCAAAATTAATAGAAGAAGACAGAAATGAACCCAACTATTACAAAAGAGTTGTAACAAAACAATACGGAGTATCATAAATCATGTGACAACTAATTGTAAATAGGAAGTAAAGTTTCAAGGATCGTTAATGGCAATCCATCTTATTACTCATTACCCATTAGAGCCCAGCTGCTTAGACCAGGAAAGGAAGAACTTCCTCCCCCCAGATAGTTATCACATAGCTGTATATACCAACAACGTGACAACTAATATAGGACGCAAAAAAAAATGTAGCAATTAACTACGAAACCAGAATTCTAAATCTACCCAATATTCCAGTCGTGAAAAACATCATATACATAAGGGCACATAACTAGTATTGACAGAATAATGGATGTACTGCTGCTATAAGATACCGAGTATAAGCTTTTCATCACAACAGAGTGCTTCAGAAAAAGCCGCTCGAACTGCCATCTGCAAGCACTGAAGTTCTCAATCTGTATGCTGAGACTTGAGTTTCCCTAATTGATTTTATATAGAACAGAAACCTACATTGTTCTTTACATAGTATGCAAAAACATGTGAACATAACAAAATAATTATCTTGGTGATCTCCCTGTATCCAGAAAGTGTTAAATTCACAAGAGTATACTTCAAGAATTAAATTTTACTTTATACCCAGTATAAATATGTGCCTCAAATGACATACAACTCCCAGTTTCTAGTGCAGAATGTTTCATTCACAAAATTCAATAAAATGAGATTTTCTTTCACCCTAAAATCATACTCCTAGTATAAACCCTTATGGTGGAAGAAAGGAAAAGTTCAAAACAATGACAACCTAGTTTCCTATCCCTAGATCACTAATAATACACATAAATTCGATCGAACAATATAAGTGGGACAGAGAGGCTCTTAAGATATGTACCATATTTGACTTTCACAAGCACCTAATTACAAATGCCAACACTTGATATAACACACTGTTGGACATTGAATCATATGCGCCAAAATTGGTTCTTCAATGAATGAAGAATAATGTAGCAGTGGAGTCTTCACCTTGTGCGACTCTCACGTCATAATTTGGTAGCAGCACTTCACGCATTGCATGAAGAAACAAAAAAAATCTGCAAATATGAGAAAGCAACATATCAGACAAAGGATGGTTTGGTAAAATGGTAATCAACTGCCACGGCCTGAGGCAACAATTTGAAAAAAGATGCAATAATGAGGACCTAAAAGTCATAATAAAACAAAGATGTAAACCAAGCACACCATCATTAAACTGGAAGAAGTGCAAGCTCAATTTCCTGAAGTGATTTTCCCTTGGTTTCCAATACGTTCTTCTTCACATAAGCAACTCCTATCAAACAGCAGGTTGCAAAGAATGTGTACAGGAGCTTTGGCCCAAGTTGCTCAAGTAATCGCAAAAACAGAAGACCAACAAAGAAATTTACCCCCTGCAGATGAATATAAATGTTAATTAGCAAAAAGGTTACATCCTTGCTAATCAAATCTGAGGAAATGTACAACATATGAGTTATAATAAACATTAGTATAAAATAATTAATGGCAGATGACTAGGCCATTAAACTACATGATTTTATCCAGTCATGAGCATAAATTTGATCTTAGCAATGACCTTTATTTGACTATGCACAGGAGTGACAGAACACATACGACCACATAAAATCCTTCAAACACAACTACACGCACATACGGAAGTTAATTGCCAAGAAGAAAACAGAACTAGGGATTAGAAAGCTAGCAAATCAAAGGTAGTACTAGTAGTCTAAAAGATTGAATACACAATATAAAACACATTACCCAATGAACAGCCATGCAAAAAGCCATGGCTTTCGCCCTTATTCGATTTGGAAACATTTCTGACAAGAGAAGACTAGGGACAGGACCAGCTCCAAGAGAAAAAGTCAGAACAACCCTGAAAAAATAGTTGAAGCAAAATGAAAACCAGGTAATTGGACAACAAATTTTTCAGGCACATCTTGCCAACATTCTATTATATATTTTTGGAGCTCTTCTATTTGAACAGCATTTTATTGGGTCCATGAACTTATCAAGTATTCAAGAAGTAAGATTCTTCTGATTAGTTGTGCCCCATTGCAAAAATGGAGTTTGGAAACATCCTTCTTTCTAGAAGGGTAAGTTTGAAGTGTCTTATAATAAAACTAATAGAATAATAGAAAATAAGTTCAACACATGGTACAAATCACCTGTCACAAAATTCTTTATTTTCTTCTGAAACAGCCCGCTGGCCCCTTTCAATGGGCAACATAACTGAGAGGTTGGGCCATGATAAGTGCATAATATACCATATTTTTAGCCCCTAATATTAGTCTTATTATTGCCTTTTATTTATTTTAGTAATTTATTTACTTTTATAATTTTACTAGTATATATCTTAGATTTATTCTTTTACTGAGTTTCTTATATTATAGTACTTAATATGTTTATCATTATTTTGATTAGGAAATGGAGGCAAACTACTTCCCACTAGCTCACGAGTCACGTGAAGAGCACCCTATCAAAGAAAATAAAAAAAGAAATAAAAACAAAAGAAGAAACAAAAGTCAAGGAAAGAAGATAAGCAGAATAGCTACTTCCGTCAAAACCGAGGTCACAAAACAAGCTTCATCTTCATCTTAGCCACAATCCAAGATTCTAGCTTCAACCTCCTCTCCGAAATTCAAGCAAAAGATGAAGATCTATCCTAAGTTAAGATTTTATCTTTTCATACCCAGGAAACCAAGGTTGGTTTTGGGGTTAGAAAAAAAACCCAATTATTCATTCTACACACGCACAACCAAAAATCTGAGGAATTGAGAGTGAAGGTTTTGATCGGGTCCCTGAATTGGCGCAATTGGAAGAGAAGACAGCCATTGAAGGAAGCTAAGTCTCAAAGTCAAGGTCGAACAAGAACGACGGTGATTTGCGGGGTCGAAGCCGAGTCTCATACGAGTGTTCTTGAGTACAATTTTATAAGTTCTTCTTCTTACTCAATTGTTTAATTACATACCTTGTTAATTCCTTTACTACTCTTATTGACTTATTTGATTTGATTATTAGCATAGTATTTTGGTTAGTATTGTTAAATATACTTTGAGTGATTTTACCGATTTAATTATTTATTGAAAATGCTTGTTATTAGTGATAAATTTTACAATTAAATGGTTGATTGTTATCTATCATTGTGTGTGATTGTGAATGTTTGCTAGTTATATGGTTTAGCTTAGTTTACATCATATAATGAAGTAGCCCCTTATGTTAAATCTGCGATTATGGTTATACTATGAGTTAGGAGTATTTTCAATTTAATTATTCTAAACATTTATGTGATTAGATTAATTAGGACTAATGATGTCTCCTAGTTTATAATGCTTCCATTTCTAAATTATATGAGTTGCGATCATATTTGTATAAGTTAGAATGGTTTAGAGTCAATTTGGCTTAGTTCGTAATTGACTTAAATTAAGGGATGATAGAGAGTTTTTGTTATCTTAGGCTCCACATTTAGTCAAATAATTATAATTGTGGTAATCAAGGTCAATTGTATGTCGTTGCTAATAGACTAAATCAAGTAAGAGTTATTTAATGGAATGGTTCGTTGTGTCGTCAATAGTAGTTCAGCTTATTTAATATTAGTTTTAGCTGTTTAGTACTATCCTTAAACAAACCCCCTCATTTTTATGTAAATATGTAAATAAATGTATTGTATGTAGAATTGCCGTAGTATAATGTAATTTAGTTAAACTTTGGATTTTGGAATTAATGAGTCTCCTCGTGGGATCAACCCTTGCTTACCCTTTTACTAGTTATTAATATTTTTTAAGGTTAAGTTAGGTAAATAAATATTTAATATATATGGTAAACCAGGCCACAACCCCACCACCAAATAAAGAGAAGAAATGGGAGAGGGACTAAGTCACTAGCTTATTGATGTTTAACAATGTAATTACAGCAAGGGTCCTGTAACTGGAAACAGTACAATGTACAAAGCACATATAAAAAAAAGTTTTCAAATCAAACAATCAGTTTGTCTTATACCTAGCTTCCACTGTATGTCTAGGTGAAATTCATACTAATAGATGCTGCTTAGCCTATAAATTAATATCATAGGTAAGGTAATTCGTACTAGCTTGATAGAGGAAGAACTTTTGTCTTTGCAATTTCTTTTGAACAAGCAAATGAGCAACATAATATATGTGGTGGTCCATAAACTATACATACATAAGGCCAATTCCAAGATGCACTTCTCAATTCTCAGAGAATTAATTTAAAATCATGTTGGTTTCTTCCATTAAGAGAGCATTCTTTTTAATTTACAGACACCACATTAGCAATTTAAAAAAAGAAAAGAAAAAAAAAAAAAAAAAAAAAGTCCATCCCATAATAAAAATTCCTATTTCTCTTGGGCACGTAGTCTTAGGAGAGTGTTAGTGGTGGAGTTTTGTAAATTGCACATGAATTAATTAATTAAACATAATAATGAGCATTTTTTTACTGTTTATCAATTGAGGTGAGAAAGTAGGGTACATAATGCTTTAAGAGAGTAGAGAGAAAATCAATATAAAAAGATAAATGAAGAAAAAGAAAATATTATTAATAATATGTGGACTCAAGTCAAAGAAAAATTTGGGAAGCTTTTTGTGGGACAAACAAAAAGAGAGAAATGGGGTTTTTTTTGTGAGATGGCGGGAGTATTAAAATTATTAAACTTTGAGGGGGAAAACCATTCTAGATAATTTAACGGTTTGCAAAGTCAGATTTGTGTTACAGTTGAAGTCAGAACACAATCTAGATCACAGGGCATGTGGAATGTAGATTCAGTCACATAGGCCCACCAAAGTCCAGGGCAGAAGATGATAAAGGCCTGTCAATAGTAGGCTAGAAAAATGGTCACTGAAGCAGTCAAAAGCATGGTATTACACACTGCACTTCAGTAATAGCTAGTTTGTGCATAAGACATTCAAATGTGATGTGATTAAGGCTCTTTGGCACCCAAGAGAGCTTCCAAATCAGTATTGGAGTAAAATCAAAATAGCAATAATTTGTGGGAAACTTGTTGGGAAAGAAATAACAACAATGATTTTGGCAAAGAAAATTTTTTTAAAACTACAAGACGCTTGATTTATTGAAGATTTTTTAGACCTAGTTTTCTCAATTAAATTAAACTCAACTTAGGAAGTTATATTAGGAGTCTATTTACATAACTAGTTCCTCATTTTCGGTAATATTCTTGTCCTAGGAGTAAGACTGTAAGAGTAGAATATTTTCTTGAATTCTACTTGTTGAAGGAATGCTAGCAGTCTAGCACTATAAAAAGGGGAGTTCTTTCATGTAACATATAAGCAGTCAGTTGATTTAAGAGAAGTGAGATTTCTCTTACAAATTTCTATACCTTTGAATTCCTCACGATAAGTTTTCAATTGGTTTAGCTTCTCTTAGACACTTAGTGACATACTGGTCATTCTAATTTATTGAATCTAAGGCTTTAGGTTTGGGTAGTGGTAAATGGTGATCAGTTTTACTTATTCCCCATGAGCTTCATAAAGCAATAGATGTGATGTGGTTTTATGAAATGCATAAACTAAATAAATATATAAAAAGTAAAAAGTTAACTATTTTCACAAATTTAACTATTCTGTTCAGCAAATCAACTATCTGAAGGTAATTAGTCATTATATTCTAAAAGTTAACCATTTAAAATATTGGTAAGCCCTTTACCTCTTCAATAGAGACTGGGTGAAAGTGAACTAAAACCAAATTGAACAAGAGGATGGTCTATTATAAAAGTTAAGTGTAACATCTCAACAAATTAAATTCACCCCCTCTTATTGTTGCATAGATTTATCTTCATATGCATCTTTGAAGTAAATCATGGATAACATAAGCATCCAGAGTTCCAGACTGTTCCCAAGCCCAACCGGACCAGTCCATGCCAGGTATATTGTTTGTTTAACTTTTAGTTATTAGTAATGTATAACCAAATTCTACATGCCACACGCTGTTACTGACAACTTCCCCATGCTGCAACGCAACAAGCCATATACAAGGCAACTCCCCTGCCATATGCTCGGAGCCTCAGACTTTCACAAATATGTTGGTGCTAGTCAGTATCATTGTGTATTGTAATCCTCATATTTGTATTTTATGTTTGTTGTGCATATGGGATAGCGCTGATAGGCTAGATCTTGCCTTGATAATTAAAACACCACATGGGCATCTGCACTCGTCTTGTGACAACCAAGAGCATGATGAGCATGTTATTGGTTAATGTTCTTTTTATTATCCTTTTGTGTTCTTTTATCATAGTTTTATCACAGTTATCCTTCTGTGTTCTTTTATGTACTTAAATTTTTGAATCATTTTACCATATCAACCCCCTCATCTATTTATTACAGTCTAAACAATGAAGTCTTCCACATAATTACTAAATAATTTAAGGTGAAGTACTGGAAACTTACAGCAGTACGCCTCCAACAGACAGGTACACTGATGTCTCACGTGATACAAAGGAGCTTGCAGCAATTACTTGAAGAAACAATGACATGGCCTGAACACAAATACACAAAGGTAATGGTCAAGTTCAGTTATAAAGAGAACATGCACTTCAGCAGTTGGCAAAAAAAACGAACAATCAAACTAATCAAGAAATAGTTCACAGATAATTGCAACCAAAAAAAAAAAAAAAAATTCTTTGTTTAAGTAATTCACATTCACCTAATTCCCGGTGATGGATGCAAAAATGTGAACAACCAGAAATATTTGACAAGCAAAACAAATATATCTGAACTTCATGACGTTCAACACATAATTCCATAAAACCATTTTTACTGAACAACAAAAAATTTTGAAACACGGGTCTTATGCTTAAAGAGTAAAAGTGATACCAGATTTTACTAACTTTACAGATTACTACAATTTCTACATTGATGCAACCCATTTGCAAGTAAATAGATTGTCTTACCATGCCCAAAAAGCTACCAAGAAGCAGCAGCTTCCTTCCTAGTTTATCCATTAGTATAGTTGCAGTGCATGATCCTACAGCATTATTTTAAAAATGTCAGTTAAATGTTGATAAATTAACCAATCACATGTGTTGCATGTGTATCTGGGAATCCAGATTTGAATTTTACATCTCTTAGATAGCCCAACCCTCCACTCCCATATAAAGTAAAAGATATTCAGAACTACTACAGCAGATGAAAGATGAAACTAGTAATGAGAGCAGTGTCTACCTGATAAATTTACAACTGCCACAAACATGTTTGCTGTATCTGGTGGAACTCCAGCACTCTTAAAAACAGAAGATGAGAAATAGAACACAGCGTTGATACCAGACAGCTGCTGTAAAGCAAATAGGACAGACCCAATGAAAACCACTGCAAAATGAAGCAAAATATGAAATTTGGAACAAGTGAAATTTTGACTGCATCAGCCTTATAACAAATTTCTGTAAAAACGTAATTTAATACAAAGGGTCAACTACAACTGCCAAAACCAAATAAAAAACCTTACCCCTATGATGTCGACCATAAAATAGTTCTGAGAATTTGACCGTATCAGCCTCTTCCCCTCTATCTGACTTTGACAACTCAGATATTGCACTCTTAACATGTAAACCACCCAATAGCCTCTCAAACTCAGATTCAGCTTCAGCACTCCTTCCTTTCTGTGTCACACCAACAAAATATTGAATTCACAGGTTAAGGGTGAACATCAAACCACACTACAAAGAAACTTTACAAGTGATACAATTAACAGTGAATCAAAAAGACAAATATGGTTGTTGATATAAAGCTAAAGGAATCCAGTCTCATAATCAGAATGAAGGAATGACAAACAAAAATTAGTGAGATGTATGAAGTATAAATAATATGCCACATAAGTTGCTAATTCAAATTGGACATGTAATTGCACACCCATACTCGGACATAAATGAAAAGCATTTTTAGCATTTGAGTTATACAAGTATCTAAATAAATTTTTTCTTTCAGAAGCTGCATCTTACTCCCAATACCACTTATTGTCAAAACTCATAAGGCTTCTTTTAACGATTTGAAGATAACGATGGTGATTGAACCAGTAATGAAGTATTCTACCGTAAAGCATGCAACTACCCATACAGCAACAACAACAACAACAAACCTTAGTCCCAAACAATTTGGGGTCGGCATGCAACTACCCATATCATCTAAAAAAATATTTTAAAAAATTTATAAAAAATAAATAAATATAAAAAAAAAAAAAAAAAAAAAAAAAAAAGGGTTGTTGCAAAAAATAAAAGAAATCAAAGCCATGTAAGCCATTCTAATTCCAAGCATGACCCAAATTAGGAGGGAATGGAGCCAGGAAAAAGTAAAAGCTTGAAAAGTCAAGGTCATGAGGAAGCAAAACCTTGAAGAGCCAGTGAGGACTCTCTGCACAAAGTTCCATTGATAGAGCAAGTACTGCAGCAGGAATCACAGATACCCAGAAACAAACACGCCACCTGACAACAAAAGCAGACTTTAAATATGTACTGTTTTGTCCGAAACTCGCGGTGCAGAGAAACTGAAAACCTATATGAGCATGACTCAAAACTCTTAAGCTCTTCTTACCAATCCTTAGTATCCTTGGCAGGAATGCCGATAAAAAAGGACCCCAAAAGTCCCAGGCATGTGGCAATTTGGGTGAAACTTCCAAACGTACCCCTAACATATGTTGGTGAAACCTGCAATTTACAAAACATGATTCAAACGGTTGGAAAATAATGGACCCATAGACTTGCTAAAGTGAAACATTTAATGCACCTCAGCCACATATAGAGCTGCAACAGCTGGGCCAAGTCCCATGCCAATTCCAACAAGAAACCTTCCAGTAAGCATGCCAGGCAAACTACTTGTCATTGCACTGCACAATTGAGGACAAGGTTATATATGAGATGTCAAACAATCATACAGGTTAACAATTGTGTTGATAAAAAAAAAAAAAAAAAAAAAAAAAAAAAAAAAAAAACTCTTCAAAGAGGAATTTAGCAAATTGTAAGTTGTGTGGCTAACCATACAAAAACCACATTTTTTGTATAAGAAAATGGGGCTAATCACCTAAAAAAGTAAATTGATTTGGTAACATGCATATCTAATCTAATGTTTTCTCCCCAAACCATCCCAACGAGAGTGAGCAAAAAGAGACCATTTACGCTCATAAAATCATAAATTGATAATAGATGCATCCAAATTAGCAACCCATCAGGTGACACTACAATTATAGAGCCCTATTCAAGCTGAGTGATAAGCATCAGCACTAAAGTTAGTCAAAGACAAGAAAAGCATAACATCTCATCAATCGCACTGACCTCATTGAGGCCCCAACCATCAGAGGCAATGCACACAGTTGGAAGGACCTCCTTCGGCCAAAATAATCAGCAATTGATCCACTGAATAAAGATCCGAGAAATGCACCACCCAACGACATACTTACAACCAAACCTTCAAGAAATAATTATAAAGTGTCAGTAAATTTTACACAAATCTTTCAGAAAGTTTATATAATGCATGCTGCCATGACTCTAATTTCAGCAATAGAAAAACGTTGGTCTTCAATTACCAAGGGATACAAGATCAACCAAGCTGTATAAGAAGGGTAGTTATAAAACAAAAAAAATAAGTAATAAAAAAAGCTCGTGCCAAGAACATATGATTACCTTCAGCCAAGGTATTGCCACTGAAGCCAAGATCTATGGAAATACTTTCTAGTGTATCGTTCACTACTCTGCATATGACAACAAACAAACAAACAAATAAAGAAATAAGTAATAAGTTGCAGTAACACAAGAAGCACATTATGTCTCATTATTATCAGAATTTATTTAATTACAGTCAGTCATCAATTCATAAATCTACCAATTACCCCTTCATCATACTCTTTCATGTTTCATCCTTTTAAAGAAGCTAGACTTTGATAAAATATATATTCGATCGGTTATGTTCAAATATTCAACACCTCGACATTTTAAGAAGGCATATACGAAGTATAAGAGTTTACAAATCACAATAATTAACACAGTGCATTTAACTCTTATGATTCTTAGAATAAGAATATGGATTGCCTAGTTGAAGTTGGGGCTCACTTCAAATCCTAACCCGAAAACCAAACATCTTGAATTTCAAATTGGAATCAGAATTGAATATGAAAATTTTAGGGGAAATTTTTTATAAAATTGTGTTTTGAAGAAATCAAATGGTGACAAAGTATAGACATAGACATAGACAACATGGATCCCTTTGCTATTAAATTAGAGTAAGTATATTGAGAATTGGATTTAAATTTTTAAAAATACTTAAGAAAATAAAAATACTTAAAAAAAAAAAATGGATTAAGATCCAACTACCTGAGTCCTAAATGGAAGTCCAAATTTTGAAAACTTTAAGTTTACGTTCAACACAAATTGGAAAATCTTTTACTAGAAAAGTAATTACATTTGGCTTGGCTCACTTTGAACTTAAGCCAGATTAATGATAACCACTATTGGAACCTTTTTGGCTTGCTCAAGGCCAGTTAATTAAGAGAACGAAACTTCTTAAAAAGGACATATTAAAAGTTCTTCTCACAAAAATTCTTGATTGAGCCTCATGTTGTTGAGCACAACAATCACAATAGCGTCACCTCACTGAAGAGATGTGTCCTGAGGTGACGATATTTAATGAGTAAGTAGGCCATATAAGGTCAGATCAATACAACTCATAGCAATTGTTTAAAGAGTTTGATTTGATGCACTAAGTCCTTTCCTAGTTATCTAATATGGTTAAGTTCAATTCAAAGAAACACATATTGAAAAAAAATTAAATTCCTGTTTAAAAATGTATTTTATCAGCTGTCTAGGGCTCATTTGTTATGTTTTTTGTCAGAGTTTCCCCTCAGACAAACACGGCCTATATATAAATGATCCTACCAAAACTCTCTTTGTGACTATAGTGCTCCCTCCCAAACCCCAAGTCCCCTACCCCCTTAAAATATATGCACAGTCACAGACACACAAGTTTAAAAGAACACATACCCAAGGTGGTATCCAAACAAAAACGATGCAATTGTAGCAATGACAATATGAGGTAATGACTTTGACCATGGAGGATTTCCGCCATCCTTCCCCAAGCCTTGGAGACGACCTACAAACAACAAAAATAACAATCAGCCAAAAGATACGGAAAAAAATAGTAGGTCACACAACTATAGCAATCAAATGATTACCACCCTTCGCCTATTATCACTACAACCAACTACCCCATTTCAAAATGTTTGGCTATATACAACTAACTTCAAATTTATTTTCATTACTCCATAAATAAGAATATGCTTTTTATTATGTGCAAAAAAAAAATTATGCATATAAGAAGTTGAAAGTGAATATAATAAGTTAAAATGTTAAATCAAATATTACACTCATCAATGCGTTATTTTGTTGTGTATAAACTAATATTACTTTCGTTTTTTAAAGTGAATGATTTTGCATAAACGGCTTTTTTTTGTACACTTCTGTAAATAGAAATTTTCTATAATACTATTTTTATTATCTCTCTCTTTCTCCATGGTATCCACTCTCACATGCTTCTCTACTCTCAAATACCACCTTTTGAATAACTATAAACTCATGGTCTTTTTTTATAATTTTTAATCCTCAAACAAACTCCACTTGCACAATATTGAAACAAATTCAACTCTAACCACCTTAAATTCCGTGTTAGTCAAAGTGTTGCACTAAAAAATAAAATCGAGGGAGTATTAACTTCTGAAATGTACTAAATAATAACTCCGTAAATACTTATATAGGGCCGCATTGCATACATTGGTACATGTATCATTAAATTGAATTACTATAAACATAAACTTTATCATAAGAGCAGTGTACTCGTTTGTTAAATTACATAACTTTCTTCATGAAATTCATAACACAACTTGCAATAAACAATTGCAATGTTGAACATAAAAAATTGATCACAAACTACATATTAGGAATAACAGTAACTAAACGAAGTAGTAATCAGTTGTAAGCAATTAAATACCGCAATTAGAATAATAATTAAGAATTCAATGTATAAACTTACAGTATTTAAAGTTAAAATTTGTCAAAATACAAACAATTCTCCAAAAAAAAAAAAAAAAAAATTCACCAAAATGTTATTAATAAATACAAGTAAAAAATAAGAAATTACCTTCATTAGTGTAATTACCATCTACATCTTTAGATGCAACTCGTTTATAAGTCGACAAAGCAGCATCTCCAACCGCTTGACGTCCTCGCATTATCGCCGAAAATTGACGAAAATACCCCCGTAAGATTCAGATTCAAAAATCACATACACTTTCTCTCTCCTTCTACTTCTAATCCACACTTGATCAACCAAATCAAACAAACACAAAAATCATAAATCTTCAAAACATAAAATTCCATCAAAATTAAACGATCATCAACAAAATAAACAACTGCATTTCAAATTTTCAATCGATAATGCGTACCTCTAATTCGGCAAATGATGTAGACGAGATTTGATCGCGAGCACGAGGAGAGAGAAAAATGGATCGTGAGAAAGCTAGAGAAGTCGGTGTGAAGGGAGAGTGAAGAAAAGGTGAGAGATTTGGAGAGGTTTATGTTTATTGTCGGGTGTTTTTTTTTTTTTTTTTTTGAGTTATTTATACGCAAAGTAGAGATTAGCGTAAATTAATTTTTTTTTTTTTAAAAAAAATAATAAGTGACAAAAAATGAGATTTGGAGGAGAGAGAAAATGGGAGTGATGTTGCCAACAGGGATGGAGGAGCGACTGACGCCTACGAAATCTAGAGCGGAAAATCTGTAGTGTAACTGAGAATTAACACGTGGAAGGGAGGTTTGATAGCGTTACATGATGGTTATGGTTTGGCTTTTACGTCACAGGTATGTAGTATTGGTGTAGTTGGCAATTGGCATGTTGTCAATTGATAGTTGGAGTGGAAGTGGGACTGTCACTGCACTTTTTAAAAGTGGACTTCCAATGCCATTTTTTTTAGCAAGTCTGCATCATTTTGTATACCGTGAAAGTTTCAATTTAAATACATCACTTTGTATTTTAGTCAATAAATTCTCTTTATCTCTCATATCATGGTTCTTTATTATTTCTCTCTATCTCTCCGTACTCTTAAAATTATTTAAGAATCCGCAATTTCAAAAGTAATACATCTAATATTAAACGGAGGAAATAGTATATTTTTTATGATATTAAATTTTTATATGTATCTGTTTAAAATCATTACGCATTGGTAATCGTAAATTAATACTTCTTCTGTTCCACAAATATTATAACAAGGATGAAATTATGCATTTCAAAACACATTTTATATGCTAAATATCTATAATTATATAAAAGTAAAAATTATAAAAAGTTGATATTGTGAAAGTGTTTTTACGAGACGAATTTAACAAGAACCCACATGACTAAATTTTACTTTACGTATAAATCACAATATGTGGTCAAACAAACATGATGAATGGTGTAAAAGTTCAGTAGTTGTTATATTACTATAACGGAGGAAGTACTCCGTAAGTGATGCAATTAAAAAACAGAGGCTATAGAACAATGTGTGTAAGGCCCCGTTCACTTCACCTTATTTTTGCTGAACTGAAATTAATTTTATTGAACTTAAATTATTTTTGTTGAATTTAAATTATTTTGACTGAACTGAAATTATTTTTGTTGAGCTGAAATTATTTTTACTAATTCTCTATTACATTTCTTCCTTACAGTTACTGATTTTTGCTGAATTGAAATTATTTTTATTGAATAGGATTTAGTTTTAATGAACTAAACTTATTTTTGTTGAACTGAAATTATTTTTACTAAACTAAAATTATTTTTACTAAATATTATATTTTTTAAGGTGAACTGAACAAGGCCTGATTACATTTTAAAATACGTAGTATAAAAAAATCAATCACAAGCATAGCAATCAACAAAATTTATAAATCATAAAGTAATTTTTAAACAAGTTTATCGATAGTTCGGAATCGATCCACAAGGACAAATGAACAGTGCTTTATGCTAAATAAGGCAATAAATTGTGGTTTTTATTTTTTGGTTTTGTGTCAGTTTCAAATTTTATTTGCTTTTAAGTTAGCGATTTGAAGTTAGATTTGGTTGGACGTGATGGAGGAGGATTCTTAGTTTGCTCCGTTCTTGTTTTTTTCATTTGAGCAATTTGGAAGATGATGACAATTATGTAAAAGAACTATTAATTTGAGAAGCTTGATGGTCTTGAACTCTTGATGATGTGATTACTTATGTGGTATCACTTAAATAAAATGAAAACTCTTAGTATAAGTTGAATAATTTAAGAATGATTTTGTCAAGTATGGCAAAGCTAAAGAGTATTTATTGTCTTTTGCATTGCTATGTTACGGGTTGTAGAGATGGTGTTTTAGCCAAGGAGTTGGTCGGCTATATAAGCCTCCGTCGAAACCTTATTGCACGTAGCTTGAAATTAAGTGAAACGCTAAACATCGCCCGCAAATCTCCACATAAAGCCCACAAATTTGAAATGAAATGACATTTTTGCCCTCAACATCAAAAACACACTTTTATCTTAAAACACACTGTTATGGCTAATAAACGGGAAGTGGCGGCACCGGAGGCGGTGTCGCGGTGGAAGTAAACAAAGTCGCCGGATCGCGAAGGAGCCGTGGTGGCAGCGCCCCACCCAGGCGCCACAACCAAGGCTACTGGCGCCTGGCCAGGACGCCACCGCCACGGTGGCGGCGCCTGGGCAAGACGCCGTGGCCACGGTGGCGGCGTCCACTGAAGACGCCACCACCGTGGCTACGGCGTCCTGCCCAGGCGCCGCCACCGCGGCGGTGGCGTCCTGGCCAGGCGCCAGTAGCCTTTTTTTTTTTTTTTTCAAATTTTTTTTAATTTTTTTTTTTCAATTTTTTTTTCCTATTTTTTTTTTTAAAATGTATTTTGTTTTTTGGATTTTCTTTGCAATTTTTTTCTTTATTATGTTTTTGTTTCCTAAATTTTTTTTATTATTTTGGTTTTTTCTTTCTAATTTTGTTTATTTTTTGAATTTACTAAAGCATATTTTCAAAATAAATTAATATTTTTTTTTGTTTTTTTTTAAAAAAATTAAAATTTATCAAAATTCAAACAAAATAAAAAAAAAATAAAACCAAAACGAAAAAAAAAGATTTAAAAAAAAATATACCGAGGAGGTGGCGCCTGGCCAGGACGCCACCACCGTGGCTGGGGCGCCTGGCCAGGACGCCACTACCATGGTGGCGGCGTCCTGGCCAGGCGCCCCAGCCACGGTGATGGCGTCCTGGCCAGGCGCCCCATCCACGGTGGCGGCGTCCTGGCCAGGCGCCCCATCCACGGTGGCGGCGTCCCGGCCAGACGTTCGCCGCCAAAACTTGAATTTACTAATTGAGACACGCCACGTGTCCACCCATGCCAAATGGGAAAACCGGCCACCAAGGCCCAATCTTGTTTAGAGGCCCGGTCAGCCCTAGGTTTACCCTAAACCTAGAGAGTGGCACGCTTCTCAAGACTATAAATACTCCTCTTAATCCTCATTAAGAGAGAGACAGACAGACGGACGAAAAAGAGAGAATCAGAGACAGAACGCTAATCACTCTCGAATTATACATTAAACACTCTCACCTAGAGAGACCCAATTACTTTTATTTCCGCAATCATTACTCCTTAATCAGGTACTAACTTGACCGTTGGAGGCGGAGCTCTCAGGAGTCTCCGTTATTTTGCAGGTACAGGCGGCCGGTTCCAGTCTCGGTGTTGTAACTCTCCCGCAGGACATCAGAAAACCCCGAAACATTTGGCGCCGTCTGTGGGGAGAGTACTTCTGAGATGGCATCCAAGTCTGTACCGACTCCTGAAGAGAGGCGTCCCCTAGACGACCCTCAAGTTCAGTCGGACCATGACACCGAAAGTGAATTTGAAGTAGAAACTCATACAGCTCCAGACGGGACCCTAAGGGCCCGACGTACCCGTCATACCGAAAGGGGGGAACGGGAGCATCTTCAAACAGGAAGCGAGCCAGCAGGCGCCCAGCCTGCTCGGCAACAGCCGACTGATGGGTCTGCTCCCATCACAAGGAACGAACTCATGACCTTCATGAGGGGCTTCAAGGGAGAGATTCAAGAATTGATCAACAAACAGCCGCCTGCTTCAGTCAGAGAGCAGTCGGCCAAAAAACCTTCCACTTCACTGAAGAGGAAGCCAGTTCAAGGGCGAGAGGCGACTCCTCATCCTAAATCCAAGAAGCGGGAGCCACTTGCTCTTGATTTCACAAAATTCCGTTATCCTACGGGAAATAGGAAACCTGTTCGTCACATTCAGGCGGACGGGTCGAAGAAAACATACACAGACGCTCGTCTGCTGTTAGAACAGAAGAAGAGTGATCGACTGTCAGAGTCGGCCTCTACTTCAAATTTTCAAGAAAGTTTACAAAATACCTCCATGAGGCATACACAATCGTACCATGAGAGTCAGTCAGGCGGTACCTCCCGTCAGTCCGGCTTTCATAGTGCCCAAGCGGTACCAAACCTACCATTTGTGCCGCAACAACAGTATTTTATGCAGCCACCTCCATTTGGTGGACCTGCAGCAAAAAACGTCCAACCTATGGACTGGCAACTACGGTTGCTTAGACTTGGTGAACAGCCGTCGGCTTTCTCCAAGGAGATTACTGAAGCCGTTCAGCCGGCCAAAGTAAAAAATGTACTAGTAGGCGCCTATGACGGCACTACTAATCCGGAAGACCATCTGATGGCATTCACCAACCTGATGTACCTTCAAGGGTTGGATGATCCCACTTGGTGCAAGTGTTTCCCAGCGACTCTCAAGGGAATCGCACAGCAATGGTTCGGCAACCTGCCGACTGGTTGTGTAAACAGCTTCAGGACGCTTGCTTACTTGTTTGCCTCCAACTTCGCCATGAACATCCCTGCAAAGAAAACGACCCTTGATTTGGGAACAATTCAGCAGGGTGAGAAGGAGGGGCTTCGTTCTTACATCAGGCGGTTCAACCTGATGAGAATACAGATTCAAGGGTTACCGGATGAGGTAGCCTATACTGACTTTTTTAGAGGTCTCAAAGACGGGTCTACCTTCAAATTTGACTTAGTTCGAAAAAGGGTGGCGACTCTTCAAGAGGCCTTGATTGAAGCAGAAGCCTATATACAGGCGACTGATCTGTGTACGATAAAACAGTCGGACGGGAAAAGGTTCGACAAAAGAGAAGGACGACAGAAACAGTCGTCTCACAAAGAAGAGAAAAGAAAAGAGGTCTGGGCGGCTGATTCCTCTAAACAGCCGGCCCAGAAGAAGAAAAAAGAATTCAAACCATACTCCCCAAAGTATGTGTTTAACAAGGATAACCAGTTTATCCTAAAAGAGATAAAGGGACGTTTTTCAATTGAGAAGCCGCTCCCCATGAAGGGTTCTGCAACCAACCGGAACCAAGACAAAGTCTGTGCTTATCATGATGACGTTGGTCATCACACCAATGACTGCATCAGTCTCATGCGGTACCTAGACCGCTTGGCTGAGCAAGGTGATCTTGACACTTATGTCAAGAAATCTACGGGGAATACTTCCTCAAAAAAGCAGTCGGCCAAAAAGAATCAAGAGGCCGACAGTTCCGATACAGATGATGCAGTCGTCTACACCATTGCAGGCGGCTTCTCAGGAGGCGGCCCCACTATTAGGGGCCACAAAGATAATATTAGGCGGTTAGATGTAAATTCCGTTCACCAAGAACGGCCGTCCAAATATACGTTTCCTGAGATTGTCATCACTGAAGAGGATCTTGGAGGGGTAAGGGGGCCGCATGATGACCCTCTTGTTATTGAATGTAAAGTGGCCAACCAGAGAGTTGGCCGAATCCTCATAGATACCGGGAGCTCCTCAGATCTCATCAGCAGCAAATGTCTGTCAAAACTGAAATATCAGACGGACTGCATACATCCGGCCTCTCACCCTTTAATAGGGTTTGGAGGAGGAGTCGTCCACCCACTGGGACGAGTAGATTTACCTATTCGCCTAGGCGA